ATCCACCAATGAATTAATGTGCCAACTCATCGGTGCTTAGGATAAGATGAGCACCGGTGCTCATTAGATCATTTCTGTATATCACAGATGATAATTTATGTTTTCTTGTGACGTATGTTTTTACTTCCATAACGAATTGAATGCTGTTATAGTTTTTCGGGTAAATTACGGTGAAGGTCCAACCTTTAGATTCATTTGCACTTTCATCTTTATCCCTTTTTTTCTGGTCTTCATTGTCCCAAACTTTTGGTAAATAAGCAGTATTCATCCATATTTCCGTTAGTTAACCTATTTGACCTGTACAAAAATTATAAATGGCAAAATTATCATTTCGTTATTCTTGATTAAATTATTAAAAAGAAATGGAAAATTCAGAACAAACAAAAAATAAAAATGTAATCTCTTCTCCCATTGGCCATTCACCATCCCCTGCCACCACATCGCCACCGCCACAGTCAAAATCAGGGGAAATTTCTCCCCCTACTCTGCTGCCAGCATTAGAAGAACAGAAGTTTCCTTGCTGCTGAAGTTTTTAAGGCAGCGTTTGAGAGGTCTGCCACAAGGGGTTTGCTGACAAAAATTGTAGCGTTTGAGAGGTCGAGGCTTTTTATGCCATCAGCATGCGAACAAGAATTTCTGTTAGTCTCGTGGGATTTTCTGCCTAAGAGTTCTAACCAATTAACGGTGAATGAAAAATATTTTAATAGATGAGCGAACATTACTTTGTAAAGTTCAACAAGTACAGTAGTAATATTTTGAGTCAGCATTGATTTTACTCAATCTCCCTGGTGTTAGAATCAAGGAAGATTTCTTCCCCCTATTAATGGTCGTAGTGGAGTATAGGCATCGTAAGTGGGGTGGTGGCAGTGGCTCGGCTCAGGTTTGGCAACGAGAATTTTGAGGCTTTAGATGATTAACTATTATGAGATTCTTAGAGCATGTTTGACAGAGATTTTCATCTCAATTTTCATTGATTTTTCGTCCGTTATTTGGCATAGCAGCCTACCATTTTTGACTCTTCCTCTCTAAGGTGGCCCCAACTTATTGACTTTAACGGTCACATTGTTGATCAAAATTGGATGAAAATATTTGGCAGACAGGCCCTTAAACAATTTTTTTACATGCTTAGTAATACTAATATTTTTAATAAATAACATATTTATAGTTAATCAATTTCTTCACTTTTAGCTGTTGTTTTAGCTGATGAACTATACTCCATCTTGCTTTATACGGTTATACCAAAAAAAAAATAAAATATGAAGGATTAATCACTTTAAGAAAAATGAAAATTCCAAAAAGTGCACCAAATAAAGTCTCTAATATACCAAAAAGTGCACCAAATAAGTGGGCTGAGTTTCTTGTTGAGACCCTGAGGTCCTAGGCCTTTGACTAGTTAGCCTTGGGCAAGAGCTGGTCGTGGCTCGACTGGGGTGAAGGTGGTTGGTCGAAGAAAATGACATTTTTGTTGTTTTTGTCTGAATTATTTTCTTTCGTTTTTCATTTTTTGTTTTACGAATTTTTAATTTTTTAATATTTCAGTGGCGTGGTGAAGGTGTAGGGGTGGCAGCGGTTGCGGCCTGCGGGGTGGGGTTGGCAGTGGAAGATGACATTTTTCATTTTTACTCTATTTATTTGCTTTGGTTTTAAATTCTTTCTTTTGCATTGTTTTATTAATATTTCCTTTTTATTTTTTGAATTATTTTAATTATATAAGTAATAGAAAGATAATTTTGCCCAAATAGCTTTTGAATTTACTGATCAAACGACCAACAAAAACATGAATGGAATTCCATTTCGGAGGCAAAGTAGGCCAAAAAAGGTTGGGAACGGAATTTACAAATAAAACAAGATTGGAACCTTCGCTATAATTCACCCTAGTTTTTACAGCCTCTGTCTTTCCTTTCACACGTCTTAGCTTTCTTTCAGACAACTACTTATTTGTACTTTGGTCCCAACAACTTGGATACAACTTTGATGGCTTGTTTGGTAAGCCATTGTTTGAGCCCCATTATTTGATAAAAAGAGATTTTAGAATAGTGAATTTTTTAAAAATGTGTGATTGAAAAGTATAAATAAAGTTATAGATTTGCACCTAAAATTATTTTATTAAGAGAATATATGATTGGAAATGAGTTTGGAGAAAAATGTATTATTGGAAAATAGGGTTCAAACAATGGCTTAGTTAAAGATCAATGCAAAGTCCATTTGGTACAACATAGCAAACATGCTATGGTTGGCACATTACATTTTTGAGATTTCATAACTTGTTTTATACAAGTTGTACGAAAGTAACAAACAAACTACATTACATAATTGTCTCCCACATCCAAAAGAACAGCACCCAAATCCTGTGTAATTTTTCTAATCTTATTCATCAAGAGTAATTCCGTATTCTGGTGAAAACTGGAAATTATACATCCAGTAAATCATAAATACAGATTCTGACCATGTATATAACCTAAGAAAGCACACACGTCGACTTCCTAATGAATTCAAAATCGAGATGTGAAACCACCTCCTGATACCAGGCCTATGTGAAAAGCTTTCTGTAGTTAGCTGCCTCTTCAGCCATCTCTCCCATGGTTCTGTCGTTCCTTTCTTTATCCAAATCAAGCTTCTGCTTAAGTTCCTTCTCCTTCTCATCAATCTGTGAAATGGATCGACAGCAGAAAGAATCTATTACTTCAGTTCAAAGTTAAGCCAACTTTACTCGGGGATTAAAGAGTCTTACAGCATCATAAATCTCATCGTTTTTCTCAAAATCACCACTTTTGCGTGGGATTATGTGAATGTGAACATGAGGAACAGTCTGTCCAGCCTGAGGCCCATCCTACGGTATCAACAGATGTCCACAAGTTAGGACTTCAGGGATCAGATGAAGTTTAATCAATCAAACAACAATGCCAGCAAACAAATGTAGAAATTTTTGGTAGCACAAAATTTCAGGACTTCTCCAAGAACGGAAAATGCAAAAGATTGTTTCTTTTTCATGATAAAATTTGCAGCATACGCAATTCCCTTTCTTAATAAATTTAAAGATGTAATAATAAATCATAACATTCTATTTTCAGAATGCACTTTCTATTTTCTTTTTGTTGCTTTTTATGAAGAAAATAGTTAGTCGACGATTTCTATAATTTTAGGTTTCTAAGGAAGTCCTTGTCTAGTATCAATAAACAAATACTAATTAGTGAAAGTACAGGGCTCTCTATGGAATAGGTTTTTGCCAAATAGTTAGAGTTTCAATGTAATGAGAAAGAGATGATACAATTGTGAAATTTTGTTTTAAGAACATAGATAGACCAAACACTATGGTGCAATTAATTCAAGTTTCAAGAAAAAAAATGGTTATAGTAACAACTTGATTTCATGCATCATTACTTTATTTTCTTCAGACTTTTACTTTACAAATAGTGTTCGTTTAGTCAGAAATATAAGTTTTTATTGAGCAGATGAAATTGCTCTATAAGGCTTCACTTACTACCATGCATAATTAAGCATCAGAGTCGAGACAAAAATATATTCAATAATTCTTATTGAACAGCTTCAGTAGCTAGAAAATGAAGGTCACAATGCAAGAATGGAGGAAGGAAGAGGTAAAACCTAAAAACTTTCTTTTT